TTATACAAATGAATTAAAAATTTAAATATATTTACAACACAGACAATCAAATAAATTAATTTCAACTCTTTATAAATATTAAATTTCATAAATTCAACTGTTAAATTAAAATTTATTTTTAAACAGATAAAGTTTATAAAAAATTGTACAAATAAAAATATAATTAATAATTCATCAAATAATTTTTTAACACGTAATATATTATTATTTTTAAATATAAATAAATATTGATTATAAAATTATATATTTATGAATGTTTAACTTATTAAAAATTAATATGTATGATGACTTTAAATATCTTATTCAATAGTTGAATTCATGAAATTTAATGTTTGTAAATGAAGTATTAAGTCGAGTAATTATTGATTTTCATGTATTTATATGAGTGTATATTCTTACTATATTTTTTTTTCTTAAATTAAATTTTTTTTTTGGGAATTTAAGATCACCTGATATTTATTATCTGATTTATTCTCATGTATGTGGCATAATATTGAATCTGGGTTAAAAACCTGATCTGAGGCTCATTAAGGCATGATTAGACACACACAATGTTTCAAAATATTCAATGCAATGGATTATAGCTAAAATGTCACACTTTTCATTCCATGGGACAAAAACCTTTTGTGGTTAAGCCAAGTTGGATTCTACCATATGGAACTACTTTAATAACCATGCATTATTTGCATATCAGTCTTGTATAATAATAATAAAAAATTATGCAATCTGTTATTCTATTATTATTATTGTTGTTGTTGTTGTTGTGTTAGTACAAACATTTACTTAAGTCATGAGGTGTCTTTACATTTATACTCCTATCTTCTTTCACATTGCTTATAATTAATAATAGCATTGCAACAGCTTGGATCTTTCAACCATGTTAGAATCATGTCGTTGTTAAAGTGATATGATATTAAAGATAAATTTATATTTAGAGATGCAAAATTTACACATGAAAAAGGTCATATTCTTTTAATCTCCTTGTCTCTCAATACAAAGTTGTTCGTGTGCTTGTATAATTTCATGGACAGTGTGTATTTAGTCCAAAACACAAAGGTTGTGATTTTTAAGTAATTGTTTTTTTTTTTTTAAGGGAGAACCTCATACTCGTGAGTGTTATCCAAGGTTCAACTCTCAAATGCATGTAGGAATTGACACAAGACTCGTCACTTTTGCAGTTACTTTGTCCCCTTTTTTTCGTTTCTCTCTTTAAATCATTTTACACTTTTATTATTAAGTTAATAACTTAGGCCTTTATTATTTTAATTCAATAAATAATAAATTATGCTTCCTTAGAATTATAAATAATTTTACTAAAAGTATAAAAAAAATCTGAAAAAAATTAGCAAAAAGATTTTTAACTGGAGTATACCTTTTTTAAAATAAATAGGATTATATGATACAGTTCAGAACACTAACCAAAACATAACATTTACGATTTTTGAGATTTTATAATTACAAATAAAAAGACAGTTAAATAAAACTTACAAACAAAGTAAAAAACATCAGATATAAAAAATCCAAAAAAATTCATATAAATATAAAATAAATTAATTAACCCATAATTATTTGTTGAAAAGAGTTATGTGGCTTAAATTTTTTTTATCACATCAGATAATATGTAAGGATAAGTCTTAATTTGTAAGTCAAAAATAAATTTGTTTATATATTTTTTTTTATTTTTCATCAATTTTTTTTATATAAGAAGAACAATATAAATATTTGAAGGTTGTTTAATTTATAGAACTAGCTTGAGGCAGTTATTTTTTAGGTTGAGGTTGGATTAAATTTGTACTCTTGCATGTGCATAACTTGATTTTGCTTTATATAAATTAAATTTAAGATTGCCGATTCGTGTGTTTTTTTAATTGTGGCATACTAGATACATATATTTCTCTCTGCAACTAAATAAAAAACAAAATAAACAGTAATAAGTGGTTTAAAAATATGAATGAATTAAAAACATTAAAAAAAAGTATAACAATATAGAGTTGAAACAAAATATGTGATAAAAATATGAAATTTATTGAATCGTGTGGAGAATATAAACGATGGGTAGGGTTTTGATGGTGTGTGTGAAAAGGAAATGAAAGTAGAGAGAATGAGTAGAAAGGGTGGAGACATGAATGAACCGCGGAGGAAGCAAAGGCTGTGGAAACGAGACAAATAGAGAGAGAGGAGTGAGGGTGGGTGCGTATAAAGGTAGAAGAAGTAGTTGCGAGCTCGAAAAACGCGAAAAAGGCGAGGGAGGTAAAGAAAAAAGGAGGGGATGGAGGGCGTGCGTTACCAAAAGGAACTATGATGATTCATTATTTTTTGGGTTTCTGTAAGCTTTTCTTAAAAAGTTGTTTGGTGTGTCTGTGGCTAAGCTACTCTCTGTCATATAAAGTTGGGAATCCCAAAAGCGTTAGATAGTACACACACACTATTCTATTATTTTTACTTTTTCTTATTATTTCTCAATATATCTTTGTTTCCTCAGACTTGCATAATCACCATTATCATTAGTGTCATAGCACTCCTTATCATTTCTTATCTCCAATGCTCCCTTCTATTTATTACTTTTATTTTATTTCATCTTGAACTTCCTACTCATTCTTCTGTTTAAAGGATGTTAATGGAACAATTATTGATTCAAGACCTCCTATATTTAATTTCTACATTTAATCAACTTAATGAACGGTCAACTATGCCCTTTTAGGTTTTTATTCCGTAGACACACGAAGCCAATCCGGTACGTACACAACGCTGAATATTATTGATCCCATCAATAAAATAAATCAGAGTTAAAAAAAAAAAGAAGATAAAAGTAATAGTAATGGAAAAGGATAGTTTAATAAAAAAATTATTATAGTTTCTTAAAATTAAAAGTATATTTAATCATGGTATAAAATCTTAAACAGTAATTCTTTTGAAATAAAGAGAGTAGTATTTTTTTTGTTTATTTTTTAAAGTGGAAAATAATTTAAAGCAACATATAGTCTATAATATTTAACTGCAACCAATTAAATCCTTGCAAAAATAATTATTTTATTCCGAAAATGGTGTAATTTAAGAGTGTTGTGTCGTTTAGTTTCAATTATTTTTGGCACACACTGTATTTTTCACTTTATTTTGAGTTTCGAAATGAGCATGTTCTTGGTATATTGAGTATGTAGTAGTAAGTTAAAAATGAAAAGAAGGTGTTCTACCGAGGTCGTTTTCTTCTTTAAAGAAGATTGTTATTTTTCGGATTCAATGAAGGTCGGTCCATATAAAACCAAGTTGAATTTGTCCACTGAATTTAATGCTAGATATTATTGGGCGGCTGTGGCCTGAGAAGGTTAGGCCACAACCATTTTCAATGCATTTAATGCACTTGCTCTTTTAAGCACAAATTACAGAAAATAATTTTGACAAATGTTTTTTTAAATATATAAGTGAAAGTAGTAAGTAATAATACATCTGCGTGAATAAAATATAGAAAAAAGAGAGCGAGTAAAGACAACTTACTTTTGAATGACTCAAACTTGAGCAATGCCCCCGACATCATTGTTAGAGGCCCAAACTATTGTTTTTGTTCAACACGAATTGATCAAATCTCGCAAGCAAAGGTTGAGAATCATTGTTATTATCAAGTTGTCGAAACCAAATGGGATGTATATATGGTAAGAAATCGCTGGTAAAACTCTAAGTGATTGTATTTATATGGTCCATCACAAAAGCTAACTGGGCTATCGTTTTCATTTTAACAAACATGAAGTCATGCAACAACGTGATTCCAAAGAAGAGTTTATTAATTCTGAACTTGAAGACAAGAGGCAAGCTCATATTAATATCACTTAAATTGGCATATAGGCATTGCTGGTTATTATTATATTTTGAAATAAATTTGCTTAAAGTTGAATTTAGAATTTTGTGCAGCAGTTAGCCAACTAAAGAGAAAATAACTTTGACATAATAACTGATTAAGACAGTTTTGTTTAATACGGTCTATTAATTAAGGATTAGCTTAAGAAATGGGTGCCTCTTTTCATGTGGTAATGGTAACTTGCCAAACGATCACGTACCCTTGGACTTGAGATAAAGTGAGAGAGAGAGTAATTTAAGTATGAAAAAGGTGAAAGTGGTGAGATACCTTTTGTAGGTGTTGCGTGTGAAAAGCAGAAAATTGGTTGAAAGGCAAAATTGAGGAGTGAGACAACAGCAGTTACCATCACATATCGTAGGCGCGTAATGGCCCCTTTTGTATGTGTCCAATGGGTTTTGGGTCGTGTGGTGAACCTTCCATTACGTGCGTGGGAGTGATGTTTCCCTTAATCTTTTTGTTACAGTTTTAAGAAACTAGGAACAAAACAAAACAAGTGAGAGAAAGGAAGAGAGAGAGAGATAAAAACTAAAAAGGCAGTCAATCCAAACTCCGAAGACCTCAGTCCTTAGGCTCTCTCTCTCTCCCCCATCATCATCTTTCTTTATTTGCATCTCTCTCTGCCCGTTGAAATTATCATTAATTTACATTAGAAAATAATTTAATTTTAAAATATACTTAGCTTTAAATGATCATCAGTTAATAAATAACTTTACTATGTTAAATAATAATTTAAATACTTAATATATAATATTAATATTCCTGCTATGCAAAAAAGGTGTTTTTGCTTCCTCCATCATAACTAACCCGTTGAGTGGAGACAAATTAGCCTTTAAATTAAATTATAAAAAAAAAAGAGAGGAAAAGGCAAGTGTTAAATAAAATAATAATAAAGAAAAGAAAAAGATGACACGAAAAGGAGAGCAGATTGCTCTGTCCACAAAGCATTTTATTTCCAGAAATCCTTGCAACCGATAGTACTTTCATCCATCCATCAATTCTCCGTTTACTAAAATTCTCTCCAGTTCTGTGTCTTTCTCTTGCCACAATAAAGAAGGCATAGATATTTTATTTATCTCTGCTATATCCTGTTAATTAGAATAGAATTATAGCGTGTGCTAAAATAATGACTGAATAAATTACCTTTGGTTAGCGAGTGAGTTGATACTTGAGAAAAGGAGTTAGCTTTATATTCACCTCACCGCCCCCGCGTGTATCTTTACCAATTTATTCCGAGGACAAAGTGGTTATTGTTTGACATGGACGGCGATAGAAAGTAAACAGAGGAGAGAGAAGGAATGGGAGATGTTCATGTTCTTGTGAAGGAGGGGATCCCATATATCCTTTTCGCGTTGAATTCCCAAATAGCTTTTTAGGTGACACGCAGAGAGAGAGAGAGAGAGAGAGAGAGAGAGAGAGAGAGAGAGAGAGAAGGGAAGAAGCAGGTAGACAGATAGATAGGAAACTTAACAAAAGGGAAAGGAAATAGCAATAGCAATAGCAATGAATTAGTAGTTAGTTGATTTTGTTTGTGTTTGTAAAAAGCTAGTTTTGATTGTATTGGCAACGAAAGCATCCATGGAGCCAGTTGTTCGACCCTTGAAAATGTGAATTTGTCTATATTGAAGTGTTCTTATCTTATCTCGCCACACACTAATTTCGTTTTCTGCCTGGTGGGCTCACAGGCTTAGAACCCAAGTGTAAGTTTCACACACATTCGTTGCTTTATTTTCTCCTCCCATAAAGTCAAGCAAGTACCCCCAGAAAGGCAGTCTCCGATAAGATTCATTTCTCACAAATTCTCTCTTTTTTTCTCTCTCTCTAAATCTCACAAACTCAAAACCCAACCAAATCAAACCAAACCAATTCACACTGGGAAACTGCAACCCCATATTTCAAATAAAGAAACTGATTGGCTTTTGGGATTGATTGGATTCAGCTGGAGCATCAACCATCATACACATACTGCAACACAATTGAATGAAATGAGAGCGGGTCTAAGCACCATCCAACAAACCCTGACGCCCGAGGCGGCAAGCGTTCTCAACCACTCAATCGCCGAGGCTGGCCGTAGAAACCACGGCCAAACCACGCCGCTCCACGTGGCAGCCACGCTGTTAGCCTCTCCCTCCGGCTTCCTCCGCCAAGCCTGCATTAAATCCCACCCCAATTCCTCTCACCCTCTTCAGTGCAGAGCCTTGGAGCTATGCTTCAGCGTCGCACTCGAGCGATTGCCTACTTCGCAGAACACCACTACTTCCATTGACCCTCCAATCTCCAATGCTCTCATGGCTGCCCTCAAACGCGCCCAAGCTCACCAGCGCCGCGGTTACCCTGAGCAACAGCAACAGCCTCTCCTCGCCGTTAAAGTCGAGCTCGAACAGCTCATCATATCCATTCTCGATGACCCCAGCGTTAGCAGAGTCATGAGGGAAGCCAGCTTTTCAAGCCCCGCCGTTAAAGCCACCATCGAACAGTCCCTTAATTCCGTCCCTTCCGCCGTTAATTCCAATCCCATAGGACTTGGATTCCGCCCTAGTACGGTGGCTCCGGCCCCCGCGCCGGGGAGGAGCCTTTATCTGAACCCGCGGCTGCAGCCGCAACAGGGGAGTGCTGCGCAATTGGGACAGCAGAGGGGGGAAGAGGTGAAGCGAATTATGGATATATTGCTGAGGGCGAAGAAGAGGAACCCGATCTTGGTGGGTGAATCGGAGCCTGAAGCTGCGATCAAGGAGGTGATTAAGAAGATTGAGAACAAGGAATTGGGAGATGGAGCTTTTGCTAATGCTCACGTGATTCGTTTGGAAAAGGAGCTTCCTTCTGATAAGGCGCAAATAGCAGCGAGGGTGAAGGAGTTGGGGGATTTGATTGAGACCCGTATGGGGAATTCGGGTTGTGGAGGGGTTTTCGTTGACTTGGGTGACTTAAAGTGGGTGGTGGAGCAACCGGTGGGGTTTGGAGTTGGCGGTGGTTTGGGTAACATGCAGCAAGTTACGCTTGCCGACACTGGTAAGGCTGCTGTTGCGGAGATGGGGAGATTGGTGAGCAAGTATGGTGAGGGTGGTGCTGGCAGGCTTTGGTTGTTAGGTACTGCTACTTGTGAGACTTATTTGAGGTGTCAGGTTTATCATCCTTCCATGGAAAGTGATTGGGATCTTCAGGCAGTCCCAATTACCACCAGAGCACCCCTCCCTGGAATGTTTCCAAGGTACCTTTTTTTCTTCCTTCTTCTTTTTCTCTCTGGGTGATTTTTTGTTTTAGTAATGGTTATCATGTTGATTGATCGCCATCATCTAATTTCATCCCTTTTCGTTTGAGTCTTGAAATCATCTTATTTCATGTTATGATTCAAGATCAGGATTAAATAATTGACGTTTAAGTTTTATGTTTGAAGAAATTAATGGAGTCAATTAAGATTGCAGCTAGTGAATTTTATCTGAGATGTTAACTCTGTTCTTTTCTTTTATTTTTGTTAACCGGCGGTAGCTTGCTTCAACTAGTTTTGATTGTAAAATATGTGATGTTCCTGTTTCCGTTGACAGTTTTACAAGACAGGATGATACTTAGCTTTTTGTCTACCTTTGCACTGTTAGCTTGACTAGGCTGATCTGAAAGAGTGGTTATTCTGTCCCCCAGCATTTGGTGTTATCGTGTGACAATTTTTTTTTTTTCATTTGTGTTTTAACCAGGCTTGGGACCAATGGTATTCTGGGTACTTCACTTGACTCTTTCTCCGCGTTGAAGACCTTGCCAACTACGACAATCACTCCACTGAGGCGTGCCTCAGAGAACGTAGATCCTGCTGCAGTATCAATTTGCTGCCCTCAATGTATGCAGAACTGCGAGCAAGAAGTAGCAGATATGTTTAAAGAAACTGAGAAGTCTGATTCTGAACTCAAATCAGAGGCAGCGCGACCGCCCCTTCCACAGTGGTTACAGAATGCTAGAAATAATAATGATAATGCTAAAGTAATGGATCAGGCTCAGGTAAATATGATAAAAACAATTCCATTGATAAGTTGGTGGGTCTATTAGAAAATAGGTGTCTTTTGACCATCGTGTTCCTTTGTCTTTAAATAGAGTAACAGCCAAGAAGTGAATGTGAAGAAGAGGACTCAAGAGATACAGAAGAAATGGCATGATGCCTGCTTGAATCTACATCCTAAATTTCATCAGCAAAATGTGATGAGCACAGAGAGAATTACGCCAACTCCTTTGTCGATGACGGGCCTGTACAATGTGAGTTTACTGGGACGCCAACTTCAACCCAAAATACCACTGAACAAAAACCTCGGAAGCTCATTGCAATTGAGCTCAAATCCAATGCCAATCCCCCCACCGGAGCGTGCAGCGAGCCCACGGCAAAGCACGGTAACAACCGACCTGGTCCTGGGGCAAACAAAGCCAGCTGCTGATACCCCTCCAGAAGAAACACACAAGGAACGCATCAATGACTTCTTGAGCTGCCTGTCTTCCGAGTCCCAAGACAAGTTTGATGAATTGCAAAGCAAAAAACTACTGGATGCAGACTCTTTCAAGAAGCTCCTGAAAGGTCTGACGGAAAAGGTGTGGTGGCAGCAGGATGCGGCATCAGCAGTGGCCACCACAGTGACCCAATGCAAACTAGGCAATGGTAAAAGACGCTCCAAGGGTGACACTTGGTTACTGTTCGTGGGTCCTGATAGAATTGGTAAGAAGAAAATGGCAGCAACTCTTTCTGAGGTGGTATCTGGCTCCAACCCAATCATAATACCCCTTGCACAACGCCGTGGAGATGGAGGAGACTCCGATGCCCCTCATGTCCGTGGAAAAACCGCACTTGATCGAATAGCAGAGGCCATCAGAAGAAACCCACTCTCTGTCATCGTGCTTGAGGACATCGAGGAAGCTAACTCCCTTCTACGCGGAAGCATAAAACGAGCCATGGAACAAGGCCGGTTCCCTGATTCTCATGGCCGTGAAATCAGTCTCGGGAATGTCATGTTCATCCTCACAGCAAATTGGTTGCCAGAGGATCTCAGGTACCTCTCCAACGGATCTCCACTGGACGAAGAAAAGCTTGCAGATTTGGCGAGTGGGGGGTGGCAACTACGCATAGCAGTGGCTAAGAGGGCATCAAAACGCAGACCTAGTTGGTTATCCGATCAAGAAAGGTCTTTGAAGCCCCGAAAAGAAGTGAATTCCGGTTTATCCTTTGATCTCAATGAAGCTGCTGATGATGATGCAGAGGATGACAGGGGAGATGGGTCACTCAATTCAAGCGACTTCACAGTTGATCATGAAGACAACAATCACGATCTAGGAAGGTCTCTCTCAATACCCCGTGAGCTGTTGGATTCTGTGGACGATGCCATTGTCTTCAAGCCCTTGAATTTTGATCTCATTCGCCGGAATTTCTCGGCATCCATCGCAAAAAGGTTCGCCGCCGTCGTCGGGAACGGGGTTTCAATTGAAGTGCAAGAGGAGGCTCTTGACAAGATTACCAGTGGAGTGTGGTTAGGGCAAACCACCATTGATGAATGGATGGACAAAGTGTTGGTTCCAAGTTTCCACCAACTGAAAAAGAATTTGAATTCGTGTACAAAGGAGCATGAGTCTTTGATGCTGGTTAGGCTCGAAGATGACGGCTACTCCGATTGCCGGAGCTCCCAAGAGTGGCTACCTGGTAGTGTGAGGGTGGTGGCGGAATAGTGTTCAAACGCAAAGGGACATGAGTGGTGGAATCCGTTTTTGTTGGTGGTAGAAATGTAAATAGACCACTTTGGCGGGGCAAAGTCAAAGCCCCTTAGTGTTGAACCAAGAAAAACCGTTACAAGTGTTGTCGGGGATGTGTCAATTTTTTTCCCTTAGAAAAAGATTAATTAATTTTTGCGTTAAAAACTTTATATTGTTTTCTCTCTCTCTTTTTTTTTTTTTTTTTTTTTGTAAACATAGGTATATTTATTAATTAAACTGAGAATGATTATTATGTTAATAAAATGGAGCATATATTACTCTTTTTCCCCCTTCATTTTTACTCACATTTTATAATCTTTCTTTACCTAATAGTGATAAATGATATATTAATAATAGTTAAGACTATTGATTCCGTTGGAGTTGTTGAATAGTATGTCTCAACCTAATAATAAGAAGAAGACCAGGAGAGTTATTTACGATTAGTTTAGGATGACAGAAGGAAATGGATTTCACTTTTAAGAGATGCTTGTCTGTTTTTTTTATAATTACAAAAATACTTTTATGTTAATTTTTTAATATTTGGTGAATACAATGAAACAACGTTCTTATAATTTTCTTCATAACTTTTAGAAATGGAGAATAAAATAATACTTTTATAGTTATTTATGAAAAGTATATATATATATATGCAAAAAGCTTAGAGAAGGAAAAAGAAGGCTACTTTAAATTAAGATGGAAACTGATGGCAACGGCCAGCTAGCAGTAAAGAATAAAATCCAGACCCAGTTGCTGAGGGATCACTGATTTGAAACAGTGGCATCTATAAATGGTTGCGGGTGCTTCTCAGTTATCAGATTAAGTTTCTGTTTCCCCGGCTATTTACGTCACCATATATATCTTTTATAAATTATAAAATTTAATTCATAGTTTTAGAACATCTAATATTTTTTTCAGTTATCACGTAAAATGGTGAAAATGACTCCCCATTTTGCCTCACACCGCCACCTTATACATTGGAATTTTTTAAAAAGATCAAGCCCTCGTAATAGAAAGTTACCTTATTTTATTTTGACGTATACTTTTAAGATATATATAAGTAAATAAATAATTAATATAGATGATTATATATTATATTAATATTTAATATTTAAATAATAAAATTAAAACACTTCTTTCGATTATTAAAGTTAAAATTCTAAATTTAAGATCACAAGTTAAAGTGAAACAACCTCAGTTGATCTATATGTTTAATGATATATGTTTGGCAACAGAGGAAATGTTTAGCTAATCCTAACTTAGTTGATGAGAAATGGGTTCCAATTGCTATTGGTAGCGTAGAAACAGGGCATGGGTAGTACCAAACAGACAGCCCTACCGACACACAAATGAATGTTTTTCAGTTAACGTATTGGCATATGAATTATAAAAAGAAACTTAATGGTAAAGAATGTATGTTCCTAGCTATACCGTTATGTGTATGCGTCATTGTCAAAATTGCATTCCCTGTTTCAAAAGAAAAGGCCAACCAACCAATATACCAAGAAAGAAGCAAAGGCCGGCGATGAGTTGTATTGAAAAAAGCCGGTTATGAATTCAGCTTCCAACTCGAACCCTGTTTTCAACGCTACGTAAGGCTATTAATGCATCACTTTATTGGTTGTAGTTTTTGGCAATTTGGACTACGATTCTAACAAAGTGCAAATCACCAAAACAAGACAACTGATGCTTGCTGCATACTTCACATTCATTTAATTCACATTGGTCCATTGTTGACTCTGTCATCTCCTTTAAGACTTCACCCCTGCATGTGTTCTCATTTATTTTCATTCCATTATATGTTTCCTCTTTTTTATTACGCTTCTCTCTCCAATTTGTTCAACTCCTCCAGTTTCAATTATTCAACTTTGTCCCTTGTATGCGCCATGATATTTTCCTCATTGTTATGGCTATCTATGTAAATCACACAATCTTTTCCTAATTAATCATAATTAGCTGTTACTTTATAAAATACCTTTATATTAAAACGATTGTGTTTCTAAATTTATCTTAACCACAAAGTTTATATTAAAATATATATCATATTGTGTAAAATTATTTTCAAAAATAATAATTATACACTTCTTTTTTAGAAACAAGATTTAATGAATCATTTCAATAAATATTTCTGGTACATTTCGCGCCATTAATGAAACATTTAGATGAAAAATTTTAGAAGAAAAACAAAGTCACAACATAATTTATTTTTAAATAAAAATTAGTAAATATATTTATAAAAATAATTGGACAGTTATGGTATAATTAGTTATTTTATTTTAAATAACAAAATTACTTCACTTCCCATTTCCCCCAAACCATTCATCCTAAACTTGTATACTTTTTCCGTTAGGGGTTAATTCCTGCATAAGACTCGCATATGCGATGAATTCACTGTGGAGAAACAGAAATGATGAAAATTTTACTGAAAAAGTAGTGTAAAATCCTGAAGTCTTCGTCATCATTAATCGATAATTCCAAAGAAAATAACAAAGAGTACACGCTGTTAATTAAAAACAAAAAAAAGGACAAAAAATAACAGTACACTTCAGCCAAAAACATTCAAACTAAGTTACCACTGCACACTGTAATTCATGATATTCTGCACCTATGAAAAAAGTGTAATAGTGTACTTTTTATAAACGTCATTATGTTGTCCGTAATGTGATCGATCGTTTGATTAAAGTTAAAGTGTGGACGAGTTACTGGTACAATGCATTCAGTTGAGAAATCGATGACTATATTGTTCAAAAAGAAAAAACAAAATGATGGATTTTCCTTATTTGCATGGGACAATTGGATAGCAAGTAGGTGAAGTGAATTAAAACCAGCCATTTTAGTAAAACGATAATGTCTTTCCTTATTCCCTTCCCCTGCAATCCCATACGGTGTCTGGTTGGTGCCCAAGAGTAGTTTTTGTTTTAAGAATTTTTAAACACGAGAGATAATTTTTATAAATTTATGTTTTTATTTTTTAAAATTTAAATTTTATTTTGTTAATCATTCTTCTCCATCTATTACTCTCAACAGAGCTTAAATAACTAATTATAATTTTGTTAACTGAAATAAAATTATGAAATTCAAATAGCTAATGTATTTTGTGTTGATGATAATTATCTAATTTGAATTTAAGGATTTAATGAAATAGGCTCTTACTTTAGAGTATCGTTGATGTTGGCAGTTTGGTATGTCCTTAAGACGAGGCCATAACGTCCCTTCATCAATGGAGAAAAGAATGCCAAAAAAAGGTCATTTTCGTGGGTAAACAGAAAAATTCCCATATAACTTAGGTTGCTTGTGTCCTCTTCGACAACAAAAGTGGGGTTCGGAATCTGAATTTGAAATTATTGTATGGCTGTTGTTGATAACAAATTAATGTCATTCCGAAATCAAAAGATGAAAACAGGCTTATGCGAGAAACATGTGGATAGAATAATTGTGTCATCGCCCGATTATTGAGTCTCTATTTTTTCATATTAAATTTTGAGCCATGTTAAGAATCTTAAAGCTACTGTCTGGAATGAGGATAATTTCAAGGTATTTTTGTTCATAATTAAATAAATTATATTGATATTTTTATATATCTTCAAATAATAATCTTTTTAGAAGTTTTTTTAATCAATTTTTTTTATACATCAAATATTTATTTTTTAATTCAATCTTAATTTATTTTTTATTTAATGTAATAAAATATTATTATTAAATTAAATTTATAAACTGTCATATACTATAAATTGTTTTAATATAATAGTAACTTTAGAAGATATAAAAAAAACTACATAATTTTATGATTAATGATAATTTTTTACTTAAGAAAATAAAAGAATAAAAAACTTTAAAAAGCATTTGTTATATCAACAGTATAAAAATTATTGTCAAATGTGTAAATCAACAACTAAATGTATTTTGGCTTGATAAGTTATACTGAGTTTGAGGGCTTATGTCTTATTTACCTTGAGTAAAATTATTTCTTACAAAAACACACTTATAATATAGTAAAAATTGTTTATTAGAGTCTATTTTATATTCTTGATTAAAACTGTAAAAAGTAATTATATGATCTTGCAGTATCAACCTATTAACCTTTCAAATATTTTATAAATAATGTATTTAATTAAATACTTATTTTATATCATATTGTTGATTATTTTAAATTTTTTATCTCAAGATATTAATTACTTAAAAATATTAATAACAATTATTTTTTCAATTTAATTTGGCATCCCACCTAAGCATGAAAGCACTAAATATCTTATTTCCATTATTATCCGATATGTTTTAATGCAAATAAAGCTAGCATAAAATAATTTCTCCATCTTTTATTTGACACAGTGCAGCACATTCTCGTGCATAATTTAACTATTATATTTGGTGTCAATAATTGCAGAGGGAGAGCTACATCTAGTCAGTCACAGAGGATTTCCCCTCCCCAATTTAAAATCATTCATTCACTTTTATATTTGTATATTTATTGGGAAAAAAAAGTTAACGTGCACTTGATTTAATTTTAAAAAAATAATTAGTTATATTTTCTAGCTTACTAAGAGTTTTAAAAAATAATTAGTTAAAATGTATATTAAATTAAGTCAAAATAGGGTTTGTCTTAATTAATATTGACAGTAAGAATAAGAATTAGTTGGACAATCACTAAGTATTCACAATCTGGTCCTTATTAGGCATGACCTAATCTGAACATACTCACTAAATAAATTAAGGCTTACCTAAAAATATTTTAGACCTAATTAACAAACTGTCTAAATGATGACAGTCCTAATTAACACACAAGTTATTACATTTTTAATAATTCTGAAATTATTAATTTGATGATCATATAAATGACTTTTATATCATCAATATATTTTAATTAAATTCATAAAATTATTAAATAACTCTCATTATTTTTATTTGGTTGACATTCATGTATTTTTTATTTAGCTACCGTAGGCAACACAGGTAACACCGTTATTATTGTTAAGGTTGTCAGTATAATTATTATAATTATTATTACAATTAAATTTTTTTAGTATTTTACTATCATCATCGTAGCTGCTATCATCATTATTATCACATCTATTATTATATTTATAAATATTGCTTTAATAATAATAATATAATAATAATAATAATAATTTATTCTCCATAAACATCAAACACCATGGCTAACACATTATCATCGTAGTTGTCTAAATAATTAAGTGATTTAGAATTTTTTTACATAAATTAAAGATATTTATATTTTAAAATGTATTATTTATTTAAAAATATTTATTTTGAATCAAATATGATA